TAAGCCGGAGAGGGCGGCGGCTCGATCCCCGAGTGCTAATGGGGTGCACTGCACATTGCGGGGCGCCTCCCCAACGTACAGCTTCCTTCCTCCCGCTGCTGCCGCTGGCTGCCTCGCCCCGCCGCCGTGTCTCCCGGACCACAAATCTTTCCCTCCCGCCGCCCTGCTCCGCCCCTCCCAGCAGTGCTGGCTGCGAAGGCAGTTCTTTTGTTCCAGCCGGGTCACCTCAACACACCTGTGCAGCGCGCGCCCAGCCGACCCTCCGAGCCCCAGTTTCGCCCGTACGCCAAAAGAGCACTAACCCCCATTCTGGAGATGGTTCTAGTATAAGGGCCGCCCCATCCCACCGACCCCCGTTGTGCTTTTCTGAGGCCGTGCCTGCATAGATTCCGCTGTTAATATTGCTTGTTTGATGAATGAAATCATGATGGATACCCCGTTTCAACGTACCGTCAAAATTTCACGTTGTGCTCTTGCGTTTTCGAATAGTTTTCTCGGCATCCAATCATTGAACCCGTTCTGTGTCCCCACTAAGCCCAGTCCTTGTGGTGGGCCCTCCTTTCCCACGACGCACTCTCTTCCACTCAAAGCAGAGCCTTCTGGAGGATTTAATCATTATTTACGCGAGTTCTTATTTGCGTAATTATGCAAATTAGCCGTATTCACCGCCCGTCGGAAGGGTTAGGCGCGTCCTCCCGCCGCCAAACAACAAGAGAGGGTGACGCCCCGAGATAAAGGGGGCTTAAATCGCGGCTTAAAAGTTGGCTTTGACGAGCCCCAAAACTCTACCTGCGACTGGACAAAGCCATTGCTCGCTTTCCCCTTTTTTGGTTGTGTGACTTGCATAGTAAAAAGATACGACTGTCTCTCCGAGCAGGTACGCAGCAAGTGCATTTCACTCTCACCGCTCAACACTCGACAACCCGAGGGGGCCGCAACTTCTACCAATCGGTGTACAGATTTCAATCCAGTCATTTTCCAGTCACTATCCAGTCATCCAGTCACCCAATCCCCAATCATCAACTAGTCGGATATTTTTGTCATAACTTGAAAGACAGGAGTATTTATTGTACTCTTGATATAATGTCACCAGTACATCTTATAGCAATTCAAATTAATTGGAGGATAACATTAGCAGTAAACAATACTTTTTCACAATAATTACAATAACATTATAAATTGTTTTAGGTGAAGGTCATCATTTTTCATCTCCGTAACTTTCTTAAAATATTGTAGTTTGTGTTTTTACAATTCATTCTCTGAACTAGGTAGTTGATGGGTGAAAGGTATAACAATAGAAACTAAATCAAGTTGTCATCACATAGGCTTTTACTGATATTATCTAATTTGGTGGTTAATTATTGACTGCCTGAAAGAAGCGCTTTCTGGGATTCGGTATGGGACTCGCTTTCCTCAAATCAAAAATATCTGCCGCAGCTTCTTGATATGTTTTAATGTTAAACTCAAACTTAATTTTAATAACGAGAAAGGAATTTTGCATAATGTCGAAGGTCTCTAAACTGAATTGTATAGATATTTCTTCAAAAGGTCTATTGCGGATTGGAATGGAATGGAACAAAGTGGGATAGTTGGGGTTTTAACATCATTCGTTCTCTTAGTTTCCTTGATACTAAACCCAAGAGCCATCTCCCATGCAACTTAAGAGAGTTTCTTGAGAGAAAGTTTGGAAAACCGTTCCAAATGGTTCAAAATGAACAATTTTTCTAACTCCTCCAAAATTCACCAGAAAAATAAAATAAAAAATAGGGGTGGTTTTTGGACCAATACTAATCAATCAACAATATTTTGGTCAAAATCGAAGGGAGTCGGGTAAAGCCTTTTGATTCAGGCTGGATATGCGGAGACGCTTCACGTAGAAATTCAAAGTTTTCATCGTGCTTTACTTATCAAGAGAGCATAAAATATGTGGTAATCGAGCGTTTGTCCACAAGAAAGTCTAAATTGTCCTGAAAGTAGCAGTGGTAGTTTTGAGAATGGTCTGTGAGGGATTAATAGGCAACTCATCTTACCCTGGTGTGTGGCAATTTCACCAATCATACAGCCTTCCAGTCATTTTCCAGTCACCCAGTCACAATCCAGTCAATTTCCAGTCAACCAATCATGTTCCAATCATGTTCCAATCTCTCCAGTCAACCAGTCATTTTCCCAATCAGCCAATCCCTATCCAATCATCTCCAGTCACCTCCAGTCATTTGATTGGCAATCGGTGTACACATTTTGGGGGAGTTGCGGCCCCCTCGCGACAACCTGTTCGAAAAAGCGCGCGCCGGATGTGGCTGTCCCCCTGCATGCGGCGCGGTGCCAGCCCGCCCGTTAGTCGTCGCCGCGCTCACCATGACTTCTTAATGAGTCCAGCCTCCCAGCCAGTCGTAATTAATAAGAAGAACACTGCGTTTTTCATTCCCGTTCCTCCACCCTCCCCCGCGCCGCACTACGCCACGCCACGCCACGCCGC